CTGCTGGCCGTCGGGGTTTGGGGTTTAGGGTTTAGGGTTTAGGGTTTTGGGTCTTGGGTTTAGGGTCTAGGGTTTAGGGACCCAAAAAGGACATAAGCATAAGCCAAGGATATGCCTACCTTATTGGGCTTCACTAGAAGGGGATTTATATGGGATATCCCTAGTCTAGTGTTTGCTTATGTGCTTTTTTGGGGGCCCTATCAGTTAGGGCTTATAAGTGGATGTAGGGTTGTCAGATTTAAGGCTAAGGGTTTCCAGGGTGGTAGGGTTTAGGGCTGGCTCACAAGGTTGCAGGATTTAGAGCTTAAGGTTTACAGGGTTGCAGGATTTAGGGTTTATGGGGTTGTAGGGCTTAGGGCTCATGGTTGATAAGGTTGTAGGCTTGCATCGCAGGGTTTAGAGCTTATGGGTTGTAAGTTGTAAGGTTGTGAGATGGCGTCCTCCCAGTGGGTGCAAAAAGGAAGCACAGAACGCCCAACGCAAGTAAAGAGCGCCCAATGGAGGATCCTCAGTACAAGGATCCCCCTCCCTTTCCAAAACACGAAAGAAAGCCCGCAGCTCATTTTCACAAGGCCCTTCTAGGAGAATAGGGGAGACTTCGTAAGTGGGGTAGCCGCTCGGGATTTGGCGTTCAAGACTTTAAGCTTTCGGCAGGGAGGTTTAGGCTTTATAATCTGAGTCGTTGAGTTACGTTTTTAGCTTCAGTTTCAAGTGCCCTAACTGGCATTGGCCCGCTGAGAACTTGCTTCCTCTGAGTTCCTTGAATGGTAGATTACGCTATAACTATGTGAGGAGCCACCCCTGGACTAGTATTCGTAAATACTGTGGCTTATAAATTAAGCTCTACCTGGGGGGTCCCTGTCCTTGCGACACCTTCCTGTTCGTGGGTGGCACTCTACAACGGGAGCCCTCGTTATGCCATCCCACTCCCTGCAAGCCAAGAAGCCTCATAGGAACCTAGTCTACTCAATTTAGGGTTTAGGGTTTAGGGTTTAGGGTTTAGGGTTTAGGTTTAGGGTTCAAGACTCCATTATCGGGGCCCTGGAACTCTTCATGTCCTCTTGAAGCTGCTTCCACCTCGTCTGTTTCTGTGCCTTCCTCGCGCTTAGGGTTTAGGGTTTAGGGGGTGTAGGGTTTAGGGTGTAGGGTTTAGGGTTTAGGGTGTAGGGTTTAGGGTTTAGGGTTTAGGCCCTAAACCCCTAAAACCCTAAACCCCTAAACCCTGGGGGCTGCTGCGCTCGCCTTCTCTTGGAGGGTCTTGACTACCCACCGCCGGTCCGGCGGTCGTCTCTGCTGTGACCCAGAGCTGGGGATCGGCTAATATAGGGGCCTCAAGAATTGGAATATGGTTTTGGCGTCCTTCATAGTGTAGTTATGATAAGGTAGGTAATTATTGAGGCCCCTATATTAGAGACGAATCCTTCGCTCTGGAGCCGTAAGCAGGGAAACCGGAAGTGATGACAATAAGCTCCCAAAACTTCCACGATGCCTGGCATCCTCCGTTGCCGCCTTTGGGCTTGCCTTGTCCCTGCCATGGCGCCTAGCTGCCGCCCCTGCGCTTTGGATCGCCCAGCTCGAAGTGCGCGATGCCAGAACGGGCTTCCAGGCGCCAAAGCGGAATGAACGAGCAACCTAAACCCTAAACCCTAACCCCTAAACCAGGTTGCGCTAGGGCTACAGCTATCGCCTTCCTGACAGCCGTCTTCTGGGCCCTGAGGAATAATCTTACCAACTAGTGAGGCTTCTATTACTAAACACGAAACCCTCCTTATGGAACCTTTAGCTCACACATGCTGTGACGCGAGTGCACGGCGCAAGCAGTGCGACTCGCAGCGAAGTCTATCCGAAGTCGGGGGGAAACTAAATCGGCCTCGCCAGCACGGCCTTGTGGCCAGCTGATCTTCCCTGTACAAACCGGCCGAGGCTTGCGCGCGCCTTCAGGTAAAGAGAAGTAGACAGCCCAACGACCAAGCCATCAGCAATAAAACCAATCCCGAGATCAGCCAAACTAAGACCACCAACCAAAAGCTCCTGAAGCCCAAGGCTGCGCAAAGCAGGTCGCAAAACTCTCCTAATTAAATTGACTCGCGCCGCAACTGTAGGAGCTGGCGGCGGAAAGCTGAGAGATGTGGTTTCTACCCATGTGCCTGTGGGATCGCAGCTAGGATACGGGTTTACCCCACTCACATGTAGAACGAACACCAGCTCCAACCAGGAACACCTGTATGCCACCGTGGCCTCCAGATCCGACTTGTAGAGAAAGTCGCAGAGCTCGGCGACGAATGAGGGCGGCATGCCAAAGCCGCCGTCACTCACCAGAGACCTCCAGTTGAGGGGCAGTGCATCTTCCAGGTGGACCTGTTTCGGGACCGAACCACTGGGTGGGGCAAAGGCCTCGTCGTCTTGTTCATCACTGACTGGGGCATGCGCCCGGTCTGCTGGTCTCCGATCAGCGATGCCGAAAAAGATTGCCCGAAGAGCTCGGAGAGCACGTAAAACGGAGTGATGGTACTCCACCGCGGATCCATGTACTTCTGCCAACAATTGAGGCCTGTTGCGATTAGCCTGCCCGGCCAAAACGTCGGCGTGATTGTTGTTCTTGGCCAACCAGTCCTCGAAAGGGTCCTCCGTCAGCGTTACATCCAAATGAGATGGGGCGTGACGCACCAGGAACTGGGACTCATCCAGCTGGTCCAAAAGCCATGTGATATCTTCCCACAAGTCACTGTCGGCCGCTGCGTCCATGGAGCCGCCATTGCGCAAAGTAGCCACGCCATTGACCATGTTCAACGCGTCAGTCCACAGGATCACCGGAAGACGAGTTGCCAATGCCCACTTGGCCGCGGCGATCAGCGCAGTGAGTTCAGCTCGAGGGGCCGTCTGGAGGATGCCACGTAGATTGCCACATGCTATGGCCTGTCCACCCGCAGCGTGGATAAGGCCCCAGCCCGCAAGGGCAAGGTCCGGATGGGCGAACTCCATGCAGGAGCCGTCAGAGAAAAGATGTTGCCATCCCACCCCCGACCCTGAAAAGAAGAAAACCCCGGTGGTGTCCACGATCGAATGCAGCAGTTCACGCAGTCTGGGCAAATGTGGATTGGCGGAGGGCAGCAAGTGGTTCGTGAGGGAGGTAGGCAGTCGGTCCCATCGATCACAGACCCACTGATGCTCCTGCCTGACTGTTTGGTACTCGGCACAGAAACGAATCCTGTGCTCCACCGTATCAGGCACTCCGCAGTGTTTGCACATGCCATCCTGCCGGGCATCAAAAAGGGCATGTTGGTGTCCAAAAAGGAAAGCACCCGACCTCACTGCGGCGTAACGCGCCACGTCCAACGCAGTCATCTTGGCAGTATCAGCAGACAGTAATGCCGGATCCAAGCCCTTCAGATCTGACATGGCAACCCGATGGCCGTGTGCCCGGGCAACGTACTGGAGCCAACCGTGATGCAGGAGACGACGCAGGAGGGCCTGAGGGCTACTAATGAGGTTATGAGCCAAACCTTCATGATCCAGGACCATGGGAGGGGCCTGGATACACCAGCCGATCTGCGAGAATACCTCCAAAAGCTTGGTGAGTGGACCATGCAAGCGCTGACCAGTAAGCGTGGCGTGGTGAAGCCTCCAATGGCTCAAGAAATTAGGGAGCCGCCGAGCCATACGGCGTATATCCCGCACACATGTCCACAGCTGGTAAAAACCAGGATCCGCAGTGGGCGGGTCAGCGATGCTCAGGCGCAGCATGGAGCTCGAGCCTCCAGGGCGGATTCTCAGGGCCGATGTGGCGGCTGCCCGGAGTTGAGAGAGCTGGGCCTCGGCAAGTGGCACCGCTGAGATTCCGTGCAGCGCTCTGGGCCACACCTTGGCCGGGAGTGCAAGAAGCTTCAAGCAACAAGGGGCCCGGGAGCGGCGGAGGGAGCGCCAAAGCGTTTCCAGGTTGGTGCAGCGAAGTTTTAAGGCGGCGTTACGAACCCGCGGCCCAAAGGACATGATGCCACCAAGTTCCCTGGCAGATTCCCGTACAGGAGGACCAAAACAAGCAATGGCTTTACGTGCATTGACCTCCGTAGCCCAAAGGAAAGTTTTGTCAGAGTCCAGCGGGAGACTCAGCAAGTCCATGAAACACTGCACCGAAGAGTAGGCCTGAGCCAGGCGTGCAGGAGCACCGGTGGTGCACGCAAAGTTGTCCACGTAGCTGAGTGAGCGGACCTGCGGGCAAAAGGCCTGCATGTAAACGTGATAGGCCCAGTTCGCCAAGACCATTGCCACCGGAGAAAGAGGACAGCCTTCAGGAAACCCGGAGGTGGAAGCAATCGGAGGGCTGACTTGGCCGCGCACCAAAAAGCGCCGCTCAGTGTTTTGAAGGAAGCTGCACCAGGGTCCGATTAAACGCCAAGGCAAGCCAACATGTGCGGCCATTGCCAACAGGGGAAGGCGTGGCAGATTGTTGAAGCACTTGGAGATATCGGTGGAAAGCCCGAGAAGGGAACCGCCCGATTGACAGCACAACTCGATTTCCAGCTGAACCGAATACCAAAGCTCTGTGGCCTCCTTGCCCGGGAGAAAGCCAAGAAGGCCGTCGGGCACAACACGGCGGAGCGCGGAAAGGATTTGCCGGGCACGTATCCCAGACCACGTCCGATATATGACCGAATACAAGCAAATTGGCCGAAAGCCGTTTGCATCCTCACGGCCGTTGTGCTTGTTCAGCATGCAGACAAAACCCAGCAGCAGTTGTTTCGGCCAGGAGCGTTGATCCAGCTCAATGCTCCGGAGCATCCCGAGCAGCTCGAGAGTGCGCTCCTTTGGCAGGTGCAGCAGATCGTCCCGAGCCCAACCATCCGGCCCACGGGCACACCGGGTTTTGAACCGCCGAAGCGCGCGGTCCCACATGCGAAGACTGATATCAGGTATCTCAAAAGCATGCCTCGGCAGAAAAGCTGTGGCGAAGTCAAGGAAGCGCTGCCAGTCCGTGGCAGAAGTGTGGGCATGCTGTTGCC